GCTTGTTGAACATAGCATGAGCGCATTCGGCCCAGCCAGTTGACGAGGCAGTACCAAAAGATTGAATAACACGTCTGAAGAGCCGGCAAGGCCTACAGCAGCAAAGAGGCGGAGCATCAGGCCGGAGATGCACTACACCTCTTTATGTATCGCTGAAACAGCTTCAGGATTCATGACTCGCCTTTTGTCGCCTTCATATTGGTCATCATACACGGTCAATTGCTTGACGATGGCCCTATGACTTTTGGCCCACAACACGTGGATTTTGCTTCGGACTTGGGACTACAACATGAATTGATCAAGCTCCGAACAAGGTGGGAGAATAGACGCTGTGAGGCACGACGGCGCTTCGTTTGTGAATACGAGCGTTGAAGCCTCGGAGCTTTCGCAAAAGCTACGACGACCCAATATGCGGTGGTGAGGATACAGATGGACAAAAGATCTTGTAGATCCCTATCCACCACAATGCTCCCAAGCTAAAAGACTTCATTCTTTGACTCAAACACGTTTCATCAAACTTGACTACTCGCATGGTTCCCACTTTCCCACCGCTCTCCCAAATTCGTTCAGCCTTCGTCGTCCGCCACTCGCCAGCCCATACAAACCACGTCACTCTACCCAACCCGCACCTCGCTGAAGAAGCTTATGATCAATAATCGCTTGTCCTAAGACCTCTTCGTAGCAGGCGCCCTCGCGATACCCACGCTCTCCTAAACTCCAGCCCCATCCTGCATGCCACCCATGAGCTGTGGTGTCTCCGCTCTCCGCGGCTTTCAGCGGGCCTTGCGTCATGCGACGAGGACAAAGCAGAACGTCGAGGCAGTGCATGATGCAATGATGTGTGGTATGCAAATCAGCACCATTTGGGAGGTGTCTAGACACCAGATGCTCTTATCGACATACACTACCCAAGCGCCGAGGAAGAGAATCTCGCTGCTACCATGTGCTAGATAGGTGGCCAAGGTGCGCGCGCGGACAGGTCAAATGTGGAAATGGGGAGCGTGTGTACTTCGCCTGACAAAACGTCTTTCACATCTTTCACATATCAGGTCAACAGGCAAGCCAGGCATTTCTGGATAGGCTCGGGTGCGATTGCAACGCAGGCGAATTCGGCTTAAGAAAGGCCGACTTGCTGGACCATTTCTCTGCAGAGGTTGCTACGATACGTTTCAGATCAAGTGTTTTGGTGCGGATGAAACGAACGGTTGCATTTTATGCAGAGGTCACTGTAGTCATCTCGTTTTGCATTTCGCAGTCGCAGACTCAAATTCCGGACATAGCCAGAAAGCAATGTTCTAAGGTCTTGAGCCCATCCATGTCGGGTGCGATATTCACAGGCGACATCCACGGGATATCCAGTGTCAAGTGTGGCTGTCCCTACTACGTTCTACCTGAGCACCTCAGTTCGCCACGGAACCGAGCCGTCTCTACTGTTCAATCCAATCTAATAATGACTGCGATTCACATGTCGAATTCCGAATTGAGCATGTAGACGCAGTGAGAATTGCACCCTCTCAATCACTCTGCGTCGACGATTGTAACCCCAAACCCAACGCTTTTCCCAAAATGAGAAGCGCGGTGTAATATGACCGTGGGCAGCGATCCATGCAGCTGCCGAGTAGAGTCATCTGCGATCCCTCTTTGAGTGACACTACCGTCAATCGGAGTCAGGTTTCAGCAGGCCAATTTGTGACAAAACATCTTGGCCGGTGAGCGCTCCTGCGCGCAGCAGGTTTTGTATGTCGTCTTCAGGGCCTATCATTTTCTCTGCGTTAGGCTGCACACGTCTCTATCCCTGCGACAGCCGACTTGCATTCGAATTGCGGTAAGGTCCCTTTCCTACCAATCCTTTGCCTTCGTACGGCGATGGTTGTCAATTGAGCCTCGTTGTAGGCATTTCGCCGGTGTTCCAATTGAATGCCAAATGCTGGAAATTCTTATTTGCTTGTATGCAAGGCCTGAAGGTCCCTAATGATATCGTCTCAAGCCAAAGACCTTTACATGAGTGTCTTTGATCGCATTGGTTGAAACGAAGCATCTCGGGTCTTAGCATACTGTAGCTCACACAGCTGAGGCACAAATCATCACACCGGGTACGTCAACGATTCTGGTCGGGATGGCAGCTCTTCCTGCCTTCATACTGAACATTTATGATGACCAGTTCTAGCGTGCGACGAGAATTTTCCGATCTTCCATAGGCTTCTCAGTCGAAAGATCTCAAAAGCTCACGGTCAGCCCATGTAAGCTAGCATTTCGGTGGCATTAGTCATATTGGAATTGAAGAAGCTTGCAGGGATGCTGTCATACCAGATTGAAGCAACAATGGAAGTGAGATCTCAACTGGCACATTGATGCCGCGATCAGCTGGTATGGAAACAATAGAGCATGAGGCTGAATTCTGGTGACAGCAATGCATGAAGGCATTTAGTTAGAGCTTGATATTCGACTTGAATAGGTGACTCTACTTCTCAGCACTATGCTTGGAGGTGGAAGTCATTCACTAGCCTCACTCATCTCAGCATGCGAAACCCAACAAATCCGCAGAATACAATGCGTTGCATTCGGTGCAACCTCTAACTTCCCATCTTGTCGACGCCCAGGATTGGGAGGTTTCGAGACAGACAGGACCACATACAGGTGGTCTTCGTTCTCAATAACATGTCTACGGTATTTGATACGTGACGTCTGAGGAAGCGCTGCATCGTTGTTCCGTACACGTGCAGGCTCACGTGATTTGACGTGAAGAAGACACCGGGTCTTTGTATTCATTGAAGCTTCCAACTGAACCAAAATTCAAGAAGCGTTGGGAGCACCAAGTGACTTTATTTGCATCATCGGTGCTTCCCACATCTCTCGGTGGAAAGCAAGTCGAAGAGAAAGCGTCCAGGGAGACTGGTCGAAGGTGGCAAGACCAACAGATTCCCCTTATACAAGATGACTTCCCCACAACCCGCAGCCGATTTTGTATATGCCGTTGGGCGCTGGCATGAAGCCCGCAGAATTTTAGAGGAAGCGAACACGGCGCTGGAAGCGAGGCATAGCCCTTATCTCTGGTGGAAACCTGTGGCCTGCTCCAACAAATCTTCAAGGAGAGCACGATTTTCCGTCAACAAATCTCCAGAAGGCTTTATCTTCAAAGATATCAACAGAAAGACCAAGATGGCCTTGCAGATAGGTAAGTGGGACAGATGTCCCTTACAAACCTCCTGAAGGCATTGTGGAATTCACCAATTAATGACATGTTTTCACGCTGCCACACTTCTCGCAGATCATCCATCCTAGCCTGCTTCGGGATTCTGATGCTTCCTCTGGCGCAGATTCTCGTTTCGTTTGTATCAGCTTTGACTGAACATGGAAAACCATCGTGGTCTACCGCCTGATTAGATGCTGCTCTGGCCGAGATATACAGGATCGAATCACGCAAACAGCTTACCCACATCAACGACCTTCAGTAGACTGTTATGCCAATGACTCAACTGATCGATATCCTTTTCTTTAAATACGCGGCCAACGTGGACGACGTGACATCAGGTTCGAGTTCCATCGCCATTCGTGCTCCTGAGCGGGACCCTCTCATCGTGGGTTTATCAGCTGCCCGCAATGTAGGCGGAACGATACATCTCCTTGGACAATGTCTCTGCTGTAGCCTAAGGTACTCTACCGTCACTTGTGGACGAGGCCAATCAGACTATTGCCTACAAGGAGCGCTCGGAGAAGTTCTTGCCCCATCGTCACTTCACTCTCGGATCCCTCATGCAGTAGTACCCTCCTTGAACTATCACCACTAAGAATCTTTTCAATCGTCAATCTTGCCGATGCCGAAGCCTATAACCCCTACTTCGGCGACCAGACCTCATTTTCAGCTCTCACAGCAGCACGGATCCGCCTCGTCCAGTGCCAAACGAACCTGAATCGTGCGACAAATGCGCTAGATCATATAGCTGCTCAATAGTGGCCCCGCTGCGCTCTCTTTGCAATCCTATTCGACTTCTCACGCGCTGCTCAAATGTACGTTGTTCAAGGTGGTAATGTTGTTTGGTAGTATTGGCGAAGAGCGACGCGAGCTAGATGCTGGACAGACTCCTATGGCGGTGGGAATTCAGCTCGCATAGGACCGAGAGGAGATGGAGGTTGTTGAGGGAGAGTAAGTAGCTCATGACATTTTCACGCAACCAGCGATTTCTAGAGGAAATCATCCAGAATCTTCACCATCCTGGGTAAAAGGGCAATGTCACATATAGGCCACGTTCATAGAGACGAAGGGGCACTTGCTGTCGATAATCATTTCCGTTTCTACTGCGGTCTGAATCTTGTTTTGGTTCGTCTTGCGCGTGGAAGAGTCTGTGAATTGGTTGGGTATCTCTGGCCTGGCGATTTTGAAGCCAATCCATAAGCACTGCAAGCCTGAATTCCGACAGGTATGTTCTTTGCAGGGGGTGCTGACTTCAAACTTATGGGAACCATGTTCTCATTCTTGCCCAACAAAGTGTCAGACGCGGCCCTCGCGCCATAGGATGCTCTAATTGGCTGCATCGTATGGGGAGGCTGTGGTATGAAAGAGAGACGTCTGTTTTCTTGGCTTAGTCTCTCCATCTGTACCTTAAGTCTCGATACCCGGAGGCCGCTGTAGTGCATTCGTTTCCCCTACAATTCGGTTTAGCGGTTGTTGCAAAGAATCAGCACTTGAAATTTCCAAGAATGATCAAAGACATCGCTGTGATGCTAGCAGGCCCATAACAATGCTATTGAAGCATCATGGCCAGGGTCAAGCACCAAGTCCTCCGGTCTCGTGAAGCCCAAATGGCGCTTTTCTCCCCGCCGTAGTTTAGACCAAGGGGTTATCCCACCAGTACACGATCGAGATGCTTCATGTCCGGTGTCAGGGTAGGTATATCACTTTACCAAATATATCAGATAGCACATAGTAATAAGATAATTTAAAAAGGATAAGCTATGTCTACACATGGCCTACATACTGCCTGCTCGGGCACTCCCGTCTACTACTTGTCGGCTATGCTCGCGAATGTATCCGACATCGATTGCAGAAGCTCCTCATACGATTTGCTTACCCTTTCTTCATCATCTGGTAGCTCAAACTTCATGTTTCGCAAGCCATATTGTATCTCGGAAGTATTCTCTCGAACCTTCGCCCAGCTCACACCGCTAGCAACCGCTTTTTGTGCCTCGTCTTGGAAGCCAACAAATGCCTTCATCATATATTCAGTCTTCCATAACGGACAAAATTGGTCGTAATCGCTGTAACCGTTTTGTTGCAGGAAATCGTCTTTGAGCATGGCAGTAACCTCAAGAATAATCTTATCCGAATCGCTCAAGGCAGATTTGCCGACCAATTGTACAACCTGGTCAAGATCTTCTGAACGACTTAAGAGCTCCTTAGTACGGTCTCGAAGCTGGGGAAATCCAGTGTAGTGCTTCTCGTAGTATTCATCAAGGACTGTTGTGTATTTGCTATAAGAAGCAGAAGTATTGATGGACGGGAAGTGTTTGCGCTGAGCGAGCTTTTTGTCAAGACCCCAAAAGACTTGCACGATACCAAGTGTCACAGATGTGACTGGCTCTGAGTAGTCACCAGCTGGTGGCGACACCGCACCAATGATAGAGACGCTTCCTTCTCTTCGTGGCGATCCCAGGGCAGAACAGGTCCCCGCTCGTTCGTAGAAAGATGCCAGCTTGGTCCCTAAGTACGCCGGAAACCCTTGATCAGCAGGCATTTCTCCCAGTCGACCAGAAATTTCACGCAAAGCCTCAGCCCATCTTGAGGTAGAGTCAGCAATCATGGCTACAGCTTTGCCCTGATCTCTGAAGTATTCTGCGATGGTGATGCCAGTGTAAATGGATGCCTCACGAGCAGCAACGGGCATGTTCGAAGTGTTTGCGATCAAAACTGTACGCTTCATGATGGGTTCTTTGCGGCCTTCAATAGTGACCGAAAGCTGGGGAAACTCCATTAGCACCTCGGCCATTTCATTGCCTCGTTCGCCACATCTGTAATAGACCTGTCAGTAGTACTCTGATAGCTCTGCACATATCAAGCGAGGAGAATATGAATGCAAAAGGGTGTGTCGCTTACCCAACGTAGATAATAATATCGCTGTTCGAGAATTTGGACACCGACTGAGAAATGACAGTCTTGCCGCAGCCGAAAGCTCCAGGGATGCACACCGTACCGCCTTGAACCGAGGGGAAGAGGGCGTCTAGGACACGCTGACCGACAACCATTGGCGACGTAGCAGGCAGACGTTCGCCGACCGGTCGAGGAACACGTACAGGCCATACTTGCAGCATCATGTATTCTTTCTCTTCTCCATTGAACTCGACTGTGAGCAACGGCTCTGCAACTGTATATTGACCCTTCTCGGCAATCTTTTTAATGATCCCACGGGCGCGTGGAGGCAGGAGAATTCTATGCTCGTTGAGCAGTGAATTCTCTACGACCTTGCCCCAAACATCTCCCCCAGTTATATGATCCCCCTCTTTCATGGTTGGAGTGAACTCCCATTTCTTCTTTCGATCGAGGGCTGGCACTGTAATGCCGCGGGGAATATAGATGCTATCAGTTTTACCGGCAATACTTCTGAGGGACCTTTGGATTCCATCGTAGATTGTCTCCATCAAGCCAGGACCGAGTTCGACGGACAACGGCTTGCCTGTCCTCGATACGGGATCCCCCACCGAGACACCGGCTGCATTTCATCATCAGCCACCGTTATATCCAACATACATTGCTTGCAAACCAGTCTCCTCGTATACCTGAATTGTGGCCTTATCGCCTTCAATCCGGATGACTTCTCCGATGAGCTCTTGACTCCCCACTTTGCAGATTTCGTACATGCTAGGACCATCGATTTCGGCGACAATGACAGGCCCTATCTCATTTCAGCCGGAAGGTCTTCAATTTGGGTACTGCTGGGGAACATACCTGACACTGAGAAGACTGTGCCGACGGGGAAATCATCCTCGGCACCTTTGAGATTTGCGGCCGGCATTGCGAATCGAGTGAAGCTTGCGTTGGCAGTGTTCCTTGTCCTCAAGCACAATGAGTGAGAGGTGTGAGCCTGGTTTGGAGATGGGATGTTGACGATGTCCTCTAACGCGTCATGGGTAGAGAAGTTGGTGTCTGGAACGCACTAACATCTCGATTGCGCTAACGCTAAATAGGGCGCCAAGTATTTTAAGGCTAGAGGGCTCACGCTTATCTCGAGGAAGGCAACTCCCGCCGCTAAACCTAATTAGGCTGTATTCAATAATATTCGAGGGCTGAATGGTCTCATGCTCCTATGGCTCATATCGTATGTGTTCCAGCCCAGTCGGAATTTCATGTCGATCGAAAGCCAAGGAATCATAACACCGCACAGTGAGATGTAGAATATGCTCCGAGACTAAAACGCCACCATCCAAGGAGTCACGAGTGGACGTATACTGCATCTATGAATGACTGTCGTGACGAGACTGGCATTTTCAACGAGGTACGATTGGGAGAAGTCTCATTCATTGCGCGATGTCCACTCTAGATCCCAGAGTTTGCTAGACTAAGTCTCGATTTAATCTACAGAACACAGATTTTTTAAGGATATTAAGATGATATACTCTCAAGATCGATATATACCGTAATCTGTTCGGGTTTGGGGTGTAAGAGCCTTTGGATTTCTTACCTGGACAAGAAATATGATCGAGCTTATATCACCGCCGGTCAAACCCCAGTCGCACGAATCATGGAAAAGGATCAAAGCTGACTGCGTTGCCGCGTTCGGTACCGGACAAATACTTCAGCGGGCCTTTGCCGTCGTAGCGATAGACAATAGTACTTGACTTGACTACGTTCACCAGCGGGTCGTGGGGTTGAAAGACTCCAGTAGCTCCACCAGTCAAAATGAATTGGGTTTTGTTATTCGCAAAGTCGAGGAGTCGGTCACCCACATCATGGTATGTACGGAGCGACAGTCCTCCATATACGACCTCAAAAATCTCGACTCTGTCTCTGCGGAAGGCAGCGCTGTAAATTACCCCATTTACTATTTCTTGAAGTTTGTTGGCTAAGTCTACCTCTCTCCCAGCAAGGTCTTTATAACCAGAAAGTTCCGTATTAGCCGTGTCCAATTGGGTTTTTCGATCTGCCACTTGGGCTTTCTGATCTGCAAGATCCTTATTCAGGTCCGAGATCGTCTTTTGTGCTGCATCGGCATCGGTTTTGGCTTTTGCATTCGCTGCTTCGGTGTCGGCTTCAGCCTTTTGTGTGGCTTTCTTCTGCTCCTCCAACTGAAGAGTCAGAGTATCGATGGTCTGGGACATACTACCGGACTGCGCAGGAGGTCCCAGTACAGTTGGCGCCGTAGATCCATTTAGTCCGACATTGAGTAGAGGATTTGGGACGGCATCTTTTTTCAACTCCTATGTGTGTCAGCTGGTCACCTTACATAGATCTCTAGTCAACGTACAGGCAAAAGATTACCCCATATTTCCGGTGGCACTAGTGACTCGAAGTCGAAACCCTCTGGTGTGGCTGAAGTCTTGACAGGGGCGCCTGGGCGTTTATCCGATGATGTAGGTTTGTCGACTAGAACCACTTCAGAATGATCCGAGCCATCTGAACTGCCGGTATTCTTCTTGGCAGAAGGGTTTTCAGGTACAGGGACTTGCGTACCCGCCCGGTTTCGGAGTGCAGCTTCGAGGATCTGTTCAACTACTTCGCTGCCATAGTGGTATACGTCGCTAGCTTGACGCTTGAGAATATCAGGGTCTTTACTAAGGACAGCAACCTGTCGCGTTCTTAGTATGAAATCGGGCAAGCACATGACAAAGACCTACAGCTTCAACGATTTTGGACTGCTCATTTCTGAGTGCTGACTTTACATCAAGCAAGATAGGGAGATATGGTCCGATGGCAAGGTCGACATCCTTGATCTGATAGGAGTCTTTATTGACGATGATATTCTGTAGAGTCCGGAGCAGCACTTTATAGTCCATGAAGTCGTCAAACAATGCAGAGGTAAAAGCACTAATTTGGTCGTATTGTAAGACTTTGTCAACCGAAAAATCGAAAGCCTCGATGAACTTCCTATTGGCCTTGTATTTGGTGAGTATCGCCCTAGATCAAATATGAGTAATATTTCGGACACGCGGCCATCAGTACTATTTACCATGTTCGTTGAGGACATTCCGCCACTCTCGCGGGGAATGCAGCAGCAGCAGCGCACAAGGTATCAATATCCCATTCCGTCTCCGCTTGTCTTAAATGAACATCAATGTGTTGGAAGGATATCGCGTTTCTTACCTGGCTTGACCTGACCACCTCCCATCCAGCTTACGTTGATCGTACACTCGGTACCGGCGAGTTTATTGCGAAGCGATGACACTTGGCTACCGTCGAAGGATTCAAGGACTAGGCCACCATTGGGAGCAGCATTGAATGCACTTGTGATTCTTGTCAAGACGCAATATCAGCACATCGTTCTCTAGAGTTGGCAGAGTCGGCCCACTCGGCAATTTTTTTGCTCTTTTTCTTTTCATCGTGGACCTTCAACGATACGACGCCTGTCAGGTTCCCTCCCTCGGTGAAGCCTAAGGGGCATTATGTGTTAGTCTTAAGTTTTTCAAGCTTAACCGTGAATCATCAATGTACTACTTACCGGAAATGAAAGAGTCTCCATAGACCTGGTTGAATAAGTCCGAGCCGGGCTCTATCTTGCCCAATTTCTGGAATGAATAGGTATCGTTGAGAATGGTGGTTTGATTTGTGACCTGTAATTTAATAGGCAAGCACCAAGTGAATGCCGCCATTATCAACCTTGACTGATACGACAAAGGTAATATCGGAGTCTTTGATAGTGTTCTCGTCCACCATGCTGGAGTCGCCATTGACTTCGATAGTGCCCTGCTTGATAGCATTGCTGGGTGATATATTCAGTGAGTCAACAATGTCACTGAGCTTCTTGATTCTTCGAGAGTAGTAAGAGACGGTCTACACATCAAATCAGCCCAACCTCGACCGATAGGGGTGCTGCCGTTACCTGGGCGGGCGACACCTCACTCTTGACTTCCTTCTGATCATACGTGACGGCATTGTCTATGCAGAGTTCGTGAGTGTAGGAGTTGAACCCCTGACCCAGCCGCATAGAATCATTATAGGGAGCTAATACTAATGTCATTCTGAACGTTCAGCCTTTTGAGAGACTGGGAGCCTGACAGTACGCCGTAAGCCTCGTTATGAAGAAAACACGAAGACAGAACAATTCGAAGCGAATGCTCTATAGACATGGCAGAGAATCTGGAAGACGGCGATTTATCAATCCGCTAGCATAAGCTGCCTTGTCGAGAATGAGAGTGTCGCAAGGTCTAACCCTCCACTCGCTGTATCCCATCATCATGGCTGTCACGTCATTCAAACGCCATTCCGATCGCAGCGGCTGTGGCAGAATTTCAGCTATCAAATGAATCAATGGGTTGGGATCGCCACACCTAGACCGTTTTCCACTGCTTCCAACGGCGACGAGGAGTAGTGGGCAGCATGATAAGCAATTCCAGCGATTTTCTAGTGTCTACCCCTTGAGACGGCAGCAGTGTTTCCTTTTTCGTGGCTATCTTACCCAGTTGGGCTATTCTGCTACGCCACAGCGTTGCACTAATGCAGTGCAACGGCTGTGAGCTGCATTAGCATTAGGACTAGGGATTTAGCTTCATCACAATCTTGGATACGCACGTAGCAAGCGGACAGATCGTCGTCATCTTGCAGGGACTACTCCATCCTTCGCTCTCAAGCTAAGGCTTCCGAGGTTCGCGTGAAACCAACGACTGTCCATATTGGGCGACGCTTTGCCACAAAAGTAAATGCCCTATGTGCTGTGGCTGGCTGAGAGGCTGATAAGAACGAAATAGTACGATACTCAGCTGATCGTCTTCAAGCCACCGTTTTCTTTGCCTTAGTTCGCGCTCTATATCCCCGCAAGCTTGAACACCATCCCAATGCTGGATATATTGCCGATCAAATAGCGCGGATGGCAGAGTCTAGGCCTTTTCATATCCCAAGGCTGTCACGCCGAAGCCAGCTATAGATGGAATTAGGTGTATTCTGATGCACATGGCTTTCCCAAAGTGAACAAGAACGTTTTCTCCTACCCCATCTACGCAAGCTCCTATATTGCTTCTGACTTATGACCAATTTGATTGGTAGGACCGTGGCGCTTTACTGGAAATTGGTGGGGGGGGGACCCTTGGCTTCACGAGCGTCAATAGTCCGAAATCCGGGCTATAGGCCTATCGCAGACGATCGAAAGCACAGAAGTACAAAACCCAGCATATTTATAACCCTAGTAACTACCGCTTCTATGCAGACTAACTTAAGATCATTGCAGCATTCGCATGACAAAAACACTAAAGCCACTACAACTAGATATCACGCCTCTGCTACATAGCCACAGCCCCATCGCCAAGGTTGATGAAATCTGCGCAGGCTCTTGTCTCTTAGTATCAGAGCAGGGGTCAGCATGGCACCGCCTAAAGGTGACACAAAACCACCAGCGCCAGGGGACCACGGACAAGCAGATAAAGACAATACCAAACCACCAGCTCCACCAGACGACCATAGTCAAACAGCTAAAGATACTATCAAACCACCAGCCCAAGGCAATAACAATCCGAGTCAGACAACTAAAGATGACACCAAGCCCCAAGGCAATAATAATAATGCATCGGGAACAGACAATGCCAATACAGGGAAAGGTGCCCCTCCGCCGGTCCCACCGCAAACAAGCACTGTGAGAATGGAAAGCCCGCTAGATAGTTGCAAGGTGTTACTGACAGACTCACACAGAAAGGCGATACTCCTCAAAAACTCTCCGAAGTCCTGAAAGTGTGCACTCTTCAGTCGGTAGGGACTCCAGACAAAGTCATTGCAACTATACCCATGAGCAAGTAAGTCTTGATATAAGTTTGACTTTGGTGGATGATGCTCACAGACGTTCAGTTTCGACAAAACCACCAAATTGAGCGATGTGAGAACAAAACTACACGATAAATTGTAAGCGTACGACTACCTTTGCTAGTAATTGGGTGACTGATACCTGAACTCTAGGGACAAGAAGCAGGTTTTCCAATATCAAGATGCTTCGTCTGCAGAGGAAACAGAGCTACTTTTTACCTACATTAGAACCGTCAATGAGACCATTGACCAGAAAAATGCCGACGTCCCAATTCCTTGTAGGTTGTTTGTCTCTCGGCCAGGATTGACTGCCGCAAATGACCCGACAACTTCTTTGTTGGACGGATCATTCTCAATGAAAATCATGGAGTGGCAGACCAAGTCTGGCGAGGAGGCGAAGAGTGGTCTGACCAGCTCTGGAACAATGCTTTCTCAGCAGCTAGGCACCAAGCCAGCAGCGAAAGACTTGACTCTAGCACAACTAAGGACCAAGATACGCCAAGTCACCTCCATGTAAGATCTCCACCAATGCCGTGCACTCAACGTATAATAATGAAGGCGGTTTCAAGGTCAACATCGGCCAAGATACATCAATTTTGCACGCCAAGTGGGTCTACGGTAGCTGACGATACAACAACTTTTGCGGATTATTTGCGCTTGGTAAGCAAAGAAGGTGTTTCGCCAATTGCATTGCATGCCTAACCCTTCACTAAGGGAGGAGATTTCAGTGACAAGCTTAACGACAAACTCGATCTCCCATCAGTCAATGTCGTTTACAAGGTTGCATCCTTGACAAATCAACCCAAGGTTGATCTTAAGACGCTCCCGGGCGCGTTCAGTGCCGACTCGTCAAAGCTGGTGAGTCTTCGTATTACCTCGACAGCTATTTAGCCCATCGCTAAGGGAACATCCAAGAATTATAAGTTGTCCGACGGCCAAAGGGTTGCGAAAGCTACTGAGCTTGGAAAACCTCGAGCGACCCTGGGCGATGACAAGACTTGGACTCCTACAAGTGGTGCAGCTGAGACTGAGTAAGCCAAGATTTATCATGAGAACGAAAAGTGCTGACGAGTCAGTGCCGCCGGCTTTCTCACCGAAGCTCAATGGAAAGTGGTACTTCAGAATTGTGGGGTTATGTACGGGTGGATCATCGATCGCGAAAATAATCGAATTGTACAAGCACCACGGCCTGGTGCGTTGTCAATCAATTCTGAGCAACGATGCCCTACGTTGACGCCCTAATAGCATTCCAACTCAAGACCAAAGCAGCGCCCGTGACAACTGTCAGCCCCGCCCCCATCACTACAACTGCAGCTTCTACCGCTCAGGTCGTGATCAACGTCACGTCGCCACCGTCTGGCTCGGGTGGGCCCGCTCCTGTTGCCAGCGTTGTGAATCCGACCGCACTTTCGTTCACACAAAGGGCTCCACCTCCAGGGATACCGAGCTACAGGGTGAATGACAACTCTCGAGTCGAGGTGACCCTCAGTAGCCACGAGTTTGAAACAAGCATGGCAAGGAACGACTTCAGCAGTGAGTCCACGGAGGCATCAGTGTAAGTGAGCTCCATCTGTGATGAATACAATTAAATAGCATCAGCTCTGGTGGCTTTGCCGGCTTCTCCGCTTCTGTTAGTGCAGGATACTCTAAGTCGGATAGTACGACTTCCAAGGACACCACGAACACATACATGAAAACAATGATTGCGTCTTATCTGGTTGGTTTGGCGGGCATTGTTCCATCGCTTAAGCTGATATACACTTCCTCAGTTCCCACGAACAGATATCGTACTTCATCCAGAAGATCTAGAGCCAACACCAGAACTTCAAGGGGCATTGGATACTATTGCGAAGCTGAAGAACATCAAAGATTTGCGCCAACTGTACCAGGACTTTGGACAAGTCTTCTGTCAGCACGTCACTGTTGGTGGCCGACTTCAGTCAACAAGGATAATGAAATCCTCAACCGTGACATCTGAGTACGAGCAGAAGCAGCAATTCAAAGTCTCTGTCGGAGTCCAAGTATCGACTCCAATTGGCGTTGGTGCTGGTGTTAAACATGACAATGAGAAAGGCACGTCTACATCGACTAGTACTGGTACCGAGGACCAGGCAGAGACGAATGTCTTTGAAGCTGCGGGTGGAGATACAATTCTGGCGTCCAAGTAGGGTAACTCTACTCTTTTCGGACTATACATACTGACATACTGCAGTCCGCTGGCTTGGATACCAACAGTTGCAAAGTTCTGGAACTGGAGAGTCATCAGCGTATGTGAACTCTCGACGAATTGCAAGAATCGTTTTCTAACACAATCCGATGAAGCGTGATGCATTGAAGCCTCTAGTGGACACCATTTCTGGAATTGATGGCTATGCAGACGTCAAGAGTCATTTCGTTCAAGCGGTACCGACGCTGAGCACGTACATCGAGCTGTCCAATGGCCACGAAGTCAAAAGTCGCCTACGGCTCGTCAGTGACCAAAAGAATCTCTCCAAGTCATACCTAGACAAGACACAGGGTGTTGAAAGGTTTGATGATCCAGCTTACTATCTCGGTCATATACCCGACCCGGCGACAAGGCCACAGTATTACGGCCTGAAAGATCCAATGAAGGATCCGTTCGGCCCAATGCTGGAATACCCTGGTCTACAGAATACGATGTTTACACCAGCTGAGTATGACTCGTTTTTCCGTCATAAGAAAGCACGCCAAGATACTGATTCACGTACCAATAGCTACCGAGCACCTTCAATCCTTGGCTACGACAGCGAGCAAGCAAGGACTCTCTCGATGACATATGACCAGGGATTCCTCAATACAGTCTGGACCATTACTGCCCCTTTCACCGATTCCGTAAGTTCCTGGTGTCACCTACCCGACCCTTCCTACATTACTGAATAGAGCCCCACAGCTTCAACACGGCTGTCGCATCAGTCTCACCACGAACGTCATAACCAAAGATATCAACGCGCCCGACCCAACAGCACCCCCAGGAGCTCCACCCAAAGCACAAACCATCGTAAATCAGCCCCCAGCCTCCTTAGCCGTCTTCCGCAACCAACAAGGCGTCTTCCTGCCCGCCATGACCACCTCAGACGGAGTTCACTACTGGCGGATCCTCAAAGTCAACGGGACCACACCCGGCGAAAACATCTGCGAAGGCGACACCGTCCGGCTTTGCTGGGCGTTCGCGGATCAAGACACCGGATTTCGCGACTTCACAGCCGACATCTACGGGCGGCGGCGGACTCGCTGTCCTGCCGACCTGGATGAGGGGGTGCTCTATTTGAAGTTACCCTGGCCGAGATTCGAGATGCTGGGAACTGCGGAGGGGGTGAATGCGGGTGGGGGGGCTGCAGATGGGGTGGGGAGGAACACTCTCCTCATGGGCACACAGCCAGGGGTAGAAGACGAGTGGGCAGACGTCGTTAGTCTACCCATGCTGGGCAGAAATGCGACGGGCAGCTCGGCGTATATGATGCAGGATGTGCAGTTTAGGATCGATTTGGTGGGGAATGATGGGAAGGGAGATACGGGGGATTATCTTTTGGGGAAGGATGATTTGACTGGGTTTCAGAAGAGTGCGGAGGATGTTAGGAGGGAGGCAGAAGAGAAGTACCTGAATCTTTTGGAAAAGGCTCTTTTCTTTTCTAGTCCACTGCAAGGGGGAAAGGTTATGTTCAAGAGTGAATCAAGGATTTGTATCCTAGTTTTCTCACACCTGCATTTTACATTGCAAATCAGTCACTAGGCTATTGAATTTGATGGCTCGATAAGATAACTCGCTGCACATTCGACCCAGGTGACGTTCTTTTTATGAACAATGATTAGGTTGTTTGGGCATAATGAATCTCAAAACAGCGACGCGTCACACCGGCCAACGCCTATAGTAGTGCTAATTACCACAGTGCGAGCACTGAATTTCGTAACATTAAGGATTCATCAGCACCTACGTAGAAGATCCAGGTATTAGTAAGTCAACATGATAGATAGTCGAGACGAAAGAAGTATTGATTAAACAGCGGTGAAAGTAAGGGGTACATTCTTCCATTTTTGGCATTTGAAAAATATCCCTCGCGCTTCAATGTGAGACCATTTGAGGTATCCTTGATGGTCTAGAAATCTGTAAATACTCCTTGTCAGAAATAAAAGTGCTGAATCTGATCCAGTATCGTTGTTTGAACCCTGAGGGACTGTATCTCCCTATGCAAAATATGCTTTATTCGCTTGGAGGGAAAGATGCCATGGCTTACAAATTCTCTTGCACATTCCGGCGGACCCGAAATACTTTATGGTGGATTTTGTCGAAATTCACATGATCGAGCGATTGTTGTTGGATATCGAGTATTACGCGAAAGGTTTTTTTGGTCTACCTCAGGAGCTTGAAAGGGCTCAACATGGGCAAAGTATCCACTTGTGTCATGTTCGTCTTTTGGCTAATTGATTTGAAGTCCTGTCGATCTGAAATAAGCGTGAATAGCGTCAATGTGATCTTCCCAACTGTAGTCCATTCCACCAAACTCATTTATGCGTAGTCGTAGAATGGCCCTTTTCGCCGAGTCCATGGACAGCCAGGGGGACACGGCTTGAAAGCCTTGTAAGCCCTGGTTTTTGTCTTCTGCAGGTACATCGACGTGCTTTTTGTTCGAGACTATGGCTATGGTGCCTTGCACAATGCACCGATGTAGCGATATCTACATATAAAGGAGGTTTGAAGCAGATCTTCGGTGCAAAGAAGGTTATTAGATTTTATAGCTAAAAAGGTCGAAACGATGTCATTGTTAACCACATCATCCTATTAATACATCCCCATCGCTCTGCTCATGCGCGTTCAGAATTGCACAATATTAAGATGCTGATCATTCCGCATAATAGCCAGGATTTCTGCCAGCCCACCCGATGTATACACCTTCTCCATCGTATCCTCAAATGGATACCACAAACAGAAGCCCCCTCCACCTCCGATCTCAACGAGATGCGCCGCACCATCTTCCCTCGCGATAATACTCGACACAGGCTGGTACTGGTGAGTCGGCGGCACGACGTCAGGTTCGATCTCCAGCTTCGCGCATTCATTGTCATCGAGCTGTACGTACTCGTCGGGGATCTCAGACTGCTTAAGGATACGTCGACCGCCGACCATCGCCGCAAAGCCTAGCTTTCGAAACGTGAAGTCCGGGAATGTTGGCGCGCTTTCAAGTCGTTTCCAATTCGCTTGGTTGGTCATATTGGGCTTAACGATCTCCCACAATTCGTCTGAGATATGCCAATAAAGGTAGTACTTCTGGTCGCATTGGAGGAATGTCATGTCTTCATTCCCACGCCTTGCTTTGTAGACCATGATCGGCTTGCGATCGTGTAAATCGAACTCTCGCAATGAGTAGACCTCGTAAGGGAGCACCCATGCGGCGTTGCGGATCCAGTTGTCAGGCTTATGCTCATCTGGGCAATGTATCAGATCGGCTTCGGTAACTTCTTGCTCGACCCAAGGTAGGACTATATCAGTCTCAAGTATCTGGTTGGCATCGAAAGCGCGATAGAAGCCAAGTAGGCTGTGTGGGGTCAGGATGTAGGAGAGTATGCTGCTGTCGGAATTCCAAAGGAAGAAGCGGTCACAATGATTGGAGATAAGGTAGAGGTTCTCGTGAATACGCTTCAGATGTATGGTGATCTCGCTGAGACTGTAGGTATCTACAATGCCTGGGACTTCACGAATGGTGGCCTGCGCTATGGTGGTAGGGTCGTTGGTCCAGAGCTCAGGAGCTGTGTCGGTGTTCATGCGAAGAGCAGACTCTGGTATGGATGCCATGACGAGATTCGGCTTGTTGACGAAAGTGCCTGATACATTCCTGGAAGATGGTGGCGAGTGTGAGAGCGAAGTTGCACTAGAGCTTGGTGAACCAACTGGTGAGGTCTCGTCTGAGTCTGACCTGCGGCTTTTGCGGCTGGATACAATAGAGTTGCGCCTCTGATCGATCTGAGCGCGCGAGTTGAAACCTATAATGACGGCGAGACTTTGCGTTTAGCAATTGGGGAGGCTATTTTGTGATTTCTTGCAAGAGGCGTAGGTTGGAGACTTAAAGATGCGGAGTATTGCGATCCTTGGATCAGGGTCTTGGCATATGCAGTCAGCGTACTCGGTAACGACTTGCCCTCATTGTAGATCACTACTATTATAATATAATAATTAGTGATTTAGGCTACAAGGTCGCTATATATATAATTATTAAAAAGTTTAATTAGAATATATAAAGAGTAGTAATTATTATTTAATAGTTAATTTTTTAAATAATAAAAGTTTATAAATTATTTAATATAATATTTATAATAAGTTATAAATCTAGTATAACTAGCTTCTTTATTTACTATATTTAAAATTAGTATAAATAATAATAATATTTATATAAAAAACAATATATATTACTTTACCCCTTTTAACTAGGTAGAGAATACCCTATATAAAGTATATAGAAAGCGTATTCTATATTAAAGAGTATACTCTTTTATAGCGACTTTATATATTATATATTTAGAAGTCTAGTAAGTTACTATATTACTTATATATAAAGCGTTATTAAATTAGCTTAATATAAGTATAATACTTTAGTATAAAAAGGCTTTTAATATAAATATTTTATAGAAAAAGTATAAATAATATACTATACGCTAAGAACGCTTTAATAACACTTTAATAGCGTACTAATTATATATTTATAGATCTTTAAAATATAATAAAAATTATATTTAAGAATTATTAATATATAGCTAAGGAAGAGGAAGTATTAAATATATATATATAATATATAAGTAAAGTAGGGTTAGAGTAATTAAGGTTAATAAGTAAAAGTATATTAAAATTATATTTATAATAGTATTAAAAGTTAGAAATAAATTACTAGTAAATATATTATAGTTTAATTATTATTATAAATTAAACTATATAAAATAGTAACTTTCTTTAAGATTAATATTAAAGTTCTTATTATTCTTTAAGTTATTTTTATATTATTAATAAAATAAAAATCTATTTATAATATAATGTAATATATAAGATTAATAAACTTATTTATTATAATTTTATTTCTATTTATATTACTTATAGAAATAGATATAATACTTTATTAATTATAAAGCTATAGAGATTATTAATAATATTATCTTATAGCGTATATACCTTTAAACCTAAGTATAATACTATTTAATATTTTATATCTTATATTTATAGTAATCTTTAAAAACTTATAAGACTATAATTAATTTATAATATATTTATCTAATAGTGTTCTATTCCTAGAGGCTATTTACTTAATTTTATTTTTTTTAATATATATATATAAGAATTCTTTTTATCTTAAAGTATTTTTACCTTTAATTTAAATATTTTACTTTTACTTTTTTAACCCTCTTCAACCCTTTTAAATCTAATAAAAGAAATTTATAATGATTATAATATTATTAATATAAATAATATATATATAAGATAAAAGGAAAAGAATAGTCTATAATATACTATAATCTAATTAATTTACAACTTAAAAATAAAGGTAGGGTAATCTATATAAGTAAACCTTAGCTATTTAAAAAATATTATAAATGTTAATTATATAATAAAGTACTTAATATTATTTTTATAGAATATTTTATTAAAAGCTTTAAGAAATAAATAATAAAATAAATATCTTAAGTTATAAGATATAAAATATTAATAAATAAACTTTATAATTTCTATATAAGTATTTAGTAATATAAATAAATTAATATATAATTATTCTATATTTATATAATAATACTTATTAGTACTAGTATTTATATACTAGTATCTATAGCTGCTTTACCTAGATTCTTATTAATATTAATTCTTTATATATTATAACTTAAAGAATAAATATAAGTAAAAGAATATATATAATTAAGGAGCTATAAAGGAGTAAGTTTAATATTTATATCTATTATATTAAGTTAGGCGCAATATTACCTTATTATTTTTATTGTTTATATCTTTTAATTTTATAAAAAGAAGTCCTTTTTATCTTCTCTTTCAATCTCTATATCTTAGCTATAGTTATATTTATTTATATTATAAAGAATTAGTATTTTAAATTAAAAAGAGTAGAATAGTATTTTACCTCTACTATAAAAAAGTAATAATATATATTTATAAAATTATATATCCTATTTTTTTTATAAATTTATAAAAGTAGATAAGAATAATTAAATTATTTATATATTTATTATATTTTATAATTATTAATTTTAAATAAAAATATAATATTTATAATAGAAACTATTATTATTAAAGTAGCTTAATATAATTAATATAATAATTTCTTATTAGTAGCAAATCTAAAAGAAGACTTATTAAATATAAAACTTTAGGAAATAAATATAAGTTAAATAATAATATTGCTTAAGGTTAAATATTTTTATTATTACTGTTAGAGTTAGAGTCTAAATATACTATATTTAGAAGGGACTACTTAATTCTAAATCTTAGGTAAAGGTACTTCTATTATATATAAAAAGTTCTTTAAGTATTAAAAGTTAGATTATTACCTTACTACTAGTTAATTAGTCTTATATTTAGTTTTACTTTAGGAATAAAAGGCAGGATATATAAATTTATTAAATTTTTAAAATATAATAAAGTTTTATAAACTTGTGGTTTAGAAATAATCTTATTACTATTAGTAATATTATAAGAGAGAATTTTAAGTCTATTAATCTTATAATAGTATTTTAAAGTACTTTTATACTTACTTTACTAATTCTACCTATTATATTTATTTAACTTTTCTAAATTAATTTTATTATTATTTAAGATTTCTACTAATTCTTACTAATCTAGATTAATTAATATACCTCTAGATCTTAAAATTATACTAAGGCTCTAAAGTACTATGGTATCGCTAGAGCTAATTACTTTAATATTACTATTACTAAATTTAAAATAGACTAAAACTTAAAAGATAACTTAAGGGAGGCTTAGAAAGACTTTAATATTTTATAATTTATATTTAAGTATATTTAAAAGCTTGTTTTTATCTTTTAAAAATAGGTAAAAGAGCTTAAAGTTAAAATTAAGGAGGAGCTATTAATTATAATCCTACTAAGTTATTTTTTTTATTAATATAATTTACTTGAATTATATTATTTATTATTAAGATATAATTTAATATATATATAGAAGTATTATCTATATAATAAACTTGCTAGGACTAGATATTAATATTATTATAAAATAAAAGTAAAGTAGTTTTTTATATTAAAATAAAAAAAAATTTCTTAATATATTAATATTTAATAACTATAACTACATAGGTATACTATAATAATTCCTTAATAATCTATAAACTTAGCGTAATAGTATATATACTCTCTTCTATCTTTAGGCTTTGCGCTACTCTTAGTAATATATAAAAGACTTTAAAATATTTTAGAAAATATTTTTTTAATTTTACTTTTATAATTTATAATCTAGAGTGTTTAAATAGTTATAAATTAAACTTTTTATATTATTATATTTAGATTAAAAGCTTACTATCGCTCCTAGTATATATATTCTTTATTATACTAATTATTAAACTATTAAGTTCTACTTATACTTAAGGTATAAATTTTTTATTCTTATAGTTAACTTTATCTTTAAATTCTATAATATAGTTATTAATATTATAAATAGAAATAATACTATAGCTATTAACAATATTAGCTAATTATATAAACTAAATATTATAATTTTAATAAACTAAAACTACTTAGTATTAAGTCTCTCTAGTATTATATAAAATAAATAAATTTTCTTTACCTTAATTACTAATAATTTAATAATTTATATTTTTTTTAATAATCTTATTAATAATACTTTTAAAGGTGGATCTACTTAGGGTAGTAAGAATAAAATAACTATCTTAATATATATAAATAACTAAGTTTTATTTTTTTAAAAAGAATAAAGGAAGATACTTTTAAATCTATTTATTTTAGTATTATAAATAGTTATAAAGTTTTTCATTTTTAATATAATTCTATATTTTAACTTATTTAATATAAATTAATAAATATAATCTATAATAATTATAATTAAAAGATACTTATAATAAAAGTCTATTAAAGTTAAAGAAATAGGGGAAGAAATAAAATATATTTATTAGTAAAAGTAAGCTTTTAGCACTATTAAATCTTTTTCTTTCTATTTAAATATATATTCTTCTAATTATAATTAAGCTTATAAGCTTATAATAATAATTTTAAGAATAAATTTAAAAATTAAAAAAGAATCTTAATAGGAAAATTTAAAATATATTTAATATATTATAGAAAGATATAATATAGAGCGAGCATATTTTAGTATTTAGTATCTAAGACTATAGATTATCAAGTAAGTTACTCTTTTAATTTATTACTTTATTTAAATATTAAGAGTAATATATTAAATAATATTAAGTATTATATATTAATTACTTTAAGATAAGTATTAATATTAAGCTTTAAAATATTAAATAAACTAGCAAAGATAAAGTAAAATATTTAATAAATAGCTTCTTTTAAAAATAAAGCCTATATAACTTTATAGAAGTTAATAAATTAAATACTTTTTTTAAATTATCTATAAACCTAAGTAACTTAAAAGTTAAATACTTTAAGTATAAAAACTTATTAATACTTGTTTTTACTTACAAATATAATTATATTATTTAGAATTAAGTATTTTTTAACTATTTTATAATAATATAATTTAATATAAATATTTAACTAAGTTATAAATACTTTATAAGTTTTTACTTTATATAAAACTTTCCTACCTATTTA